GAGTGTCTTTATGACAAAATTTCCAGTACGCATAATCACTTTCATTTCAATTTCATGCTGCACTGGATCCGTTGCCATGGTGACGCCCCCCTTAGCTGTCGGCAGTCGAGTTGTTTGAAGGGTTATTAGTGCACCGGAGAGAGAGAAAGAGAGCGAGAGCTACATAATTGTGTACAGAGATTCGCTTTGCTTTGCTGTCCCCTCGGCTCCGGGCTCGAGGGCTAATTGGAAAGCGGCCCCGGTGCCAGAAAGTGCGGCACCGGGGGGCGGCAGGGCGATGCTTTTTTCGGGAAGGACGGACAGACGGTCCGCGGTAATTTGCTCAAACGAATTAAATAACCTATTAGGGTCACCAGGGATGCGCATACTTCGCCGGATACACAGAGAGGGTCGTTGACCCTAAGCCCATCTTGGCCGCTTGTGCAATATTGACGGAGGAACTCCTATCTCGTATCTCACGCGATCACCCCGGGGAGGAGGGGGGAACTGAACAAGTGCACTACCTTATCGCCAAAAATCCCTGAGACAAAAGCGCTGCTCGCACAGCACTCTGTGCGACCAGAAATTGCTCGCTCCTGTACAGAAAGGAGCCCCATTTTGGCACTTTTCCAAAACGGGACTTGGCAATTTGCCAATTCCTTTTGCGTTTAACATTGCGTCCCTCTTCGAAAAGGAGTCGATCGGATATCTGACGCGTTACAACACAAGGGGGGGAGATACGTGAGAACGTAGAAAGTCGTTAGAGCTAGCTAGCTCTTTCGATACTCTTCCCCGATACTCGATCGAATGACACACTTTTCTCCACCCAAAAGCTTTTGCTAGATTTCCCGCCTTTCCGTGCCACATGTTCACTTCCTCTGATTAAAACTGCAAACGTTCCCAATCCTCAATCTGGCGAAACGGTGATCTCGACGTCGCTATCAGGGTTGCAGAAACTTCTAAAATTCTTCCTAAAAATATCTCAAAGAGCCAGAGTCCCCCCCTTTTTCGCTGATAAAAAAAAACTTCGCTCGGAAAATTGACTTCTGGGAGAGATAATGAAAGATAGAGAACTTTTTCATTCTTTTTTTTTCCTCCCTCCATGAGCTACAATTTCTAACTTCTGACAGGAAAGAAAAAGAGACCCATCAGACTTTAATCACTTCCAACGCCACACACACACACACGAGATTAAAAACAATCTAAAAAGAGATCGTCTCTTCCATCCATCCCATTTTACCCCTTATCTCTCAACCTCTACCTTCTAGGGGCATAAATATCATCTCGAAGAGGATTACTAAACTTCATTTACTCCTGAAAACCGATCTGAGATTGGCACACGCTCTAAACTCTCGTAAACACCCCGGCGAAGAATGACAAAACCGCAAAATCTAAACATAGGAAACAAAACACATTCAACAAGTTAAAAACCTAGTGAGACGACATACCCGTTTAAGCCTCTACCGGTTGTCCCAAATCTGATATTACACATCTACCCAAATGCACTTTAAAAATAAAAAAAACTAAATAAATAAATAAAAAAGCCCAGACTTCACCCCGCAAGCTCCGCTTACCCCCCTCCTTTTTATATCCTTTATTGAACGAGATACATTAAGGACAGCACAAAAATATATACTGACGGATAATCCCGGCAGGAAAACCCTTACGGATGGGGATGTTTACAAAAATACCCCCGAAATTCTCGAGCATTTCATATGATGGATAAAGAACAATAGACAAGTTCGCACGTTGCAGACTTCACCCCGAGAGGTGAAACTGGCTGGTGGGGGGGAGTTCAAGACACGCGAGTTAAGGGGGTGGAAGGGTCGTAAAGCACAAACATAACACAAGAAAATTTATAAGAGAAAAAAAAACTCATTTTCCAGAAATAACAGACTCACCTACTCGGTATCCATCCTCACATCTATACGTGTAGGCGATATTTTTGAACGGGGAGAGGAAAAATAGCGGATGGCAGGCACAGAAACTTTGCAGGTATCCCCAAACAGATAAGACAGAACACACTCTAAGCCAGAACTCGCTTGTTTGTTCAACAAAAGCGGGGAATGCGAACGACAGAGCTAAAACCGGCCGAGCCCATTGTAGAAAGGTGGTGGTGTGCTTCTATATGTGGAATGTGCCATTCGTCACGGCGAGGGTAGGCCGGGAGGAGGGAGACGGGCACATCCGCTCCATCGACCCGACGAGAGAACGAGATTAAATGTCCGAAGGGGAGAGAGGCAATTCGAATCGGAAACGTCATCTCCTCCGTTTTACCCCTTCCCGATCGATGCCAGATGTGACGTGTTATCCTACAGAAAATCCATCATCTTTATTTAAACGGAGGCTGTGACGTCATTAATCTGATTTGGCATAAAGTTTTTCCCGCCGTAAAGAACGATTATTAAAAGTCTAAATTGGACTTTTCCGTGTTTCGGGATGTTAAAAAAAACGTATAAATACATATATATGTATGTATGTATATGGTAATATAAGTGCGTACGGAATTCATTTCTTCATTTTTCCCTTGTTATAGCGTGCGCTCGTGAATTACGAAGACGTTATAATTAGAAAAACGAAAGTTATTTCCTTTCAACATCCGAACACCTAACGGAAAGTCGCTTAAAGTTCATTAACAAACAGAAAAAAAAATCGAGCGTAGAGATGCAACACGATAATTAGTTGATTTCTCAATCGACAGATGGCAGCATTTTAAAATCAATTTCACGAGAGGTCGCGGATTTTTCGCGAAATTTTTCGACACGTCGCCGCAACGTAATAACGTAAAAGGGAGAAGGGAGGGGAAGAAAAAAAAAATCATCTATAAGACATCAAGTAAAATGCGAGAAAGAATGAGAAAAATCGTTAACGGGTGGGACACATTATTTTCATGAAAATTCAACACGATGCGAGATCGTTATGGCACACTTCTCTCCCCCACCCTGGTTAATGTAGAGCAATTTAGAGCGTTGTTTCGCGATTTCTCCCCCCTCCCTTCTTTTCATCTCGAGCAGACAGAAATTTATATGAAAAATCGCAGGCAAGCACTAGCAGTCGGGTGGTTTTTAGGAAACAGTGATTTAGAAGACCCCCACAAAGCTAACAAAAGGGCTTTTTCTTGATCAATATTCAGTTACTTGGGTTTAGAACCTCCTGCCAGGAGGGTGCAGCGAGAGTTTCCGGTGTGTACTGATTAAGGGGAGATGTGCACAAGCAGAAATTTAATACTCGCTTCGTCCTACCGATCGGAATTCGAGTACGGAGACGGAAAAGCGCGCAGGTGGTCCAAATTCGAGCGCAAATATGCAATTTTTCCCCAGAGGGAGAGGAAGATACCAACTTTCTCCTGTTATGGCTCGAAAATTCTCAAATACTGGAAGAATATTCAACTTTAACATTGGAATTTTTCTAAGTTTAAGGAACGTTTAAAGACGGCGGATATATATATAAAAAAAGGGCCAGCTCGATTGTGAAGGGATGAAAAAGGTCAAAGCAGCTACCCACCCTCAGTGGAGAGCGAGAATTAAGAAAAGCCTGTTAGTCGTCAATAGGGAATTTTTTATTATTAATGTCTAGTCTAGGTGGGAGATGCGGGGAGCGAAGGAAGAAGAAGAAGAAGAAAAGAGAGTAGTAGTTTTAGAAAAGACTGCTGCACGATCTACGAAAAAAGTGGATATATTTTGTTTTTTCACCCGCTGGCTCGCTCGCTCCCCCCCTTAGGATTTTTTGGAGAATTAAGGATCTGGCTCGAAAGTAGCAGCTGCCGATCCTAGCCCAACTAGGCAGGTGAAAAAGCAGAGACCCGAGGCGGTCCGTGCGGGGGGAGGGTTTGCAAGCAACTCAATGGAGAAAAGAAGAAAAGTGTGTAGTCTGCACAAAAGCCAGGGAAAATACATACATATATACGTGTATAGTTAAATACAGAAGAAAAAAATATATATTAAACATAATTAAAAACCTAAGAAAACAGGTTAGTTATCTGTACCTAAATGAAGCTTTAGTTTTTTTAGAAAAAAAAGAAAAGAAAAAGCGTTAAAGTACTCGAAAAGCGTTCCCCTCCGGGCAAAGAGGAGGGAACACCAGTTGCCATGACAACGGGTGGGTCAAAACGAGTTGCTAGGGGAAGAAGGAAGTGGAGAAGGAGAAGGGGAACAGAATAACATCGAACAACATGTTGTTCCAACATGGTAGAGTGGGTGAATACTAAGCTTGCAAGTCTCGGGCCGGAATGGAGGTCGAAACAGAAAACAACGCACGCCTGATAGGAGTGTAATACATATAATAAAATAAATTTAACTAGACCACGAACTCGATTTTTATTAACGAACGCGTGACACGTAAAAAAAAGGGAGGGTGGGAAAAAGAATAGGGGAGAAAAAAAGAAAAAAAAAGTATAATTCGATCGCATTAAAACACCCAAGAGGAGCGAAAACTTTAAACGTTTTCATTTATCCTGCATATCGTTCAGTCACGCCTGGAAACGTGGAACAGAATAGTGGGTGTGGTTACACATCTACCCCCGCCTACGGCAAAGCTGCTCCCGTGCTGATTGGACAATGCAGCTTACTATTGTTAGACCGCCTAGTGGGTGTGACTGTAAACCAGAAACAAGCAAAGGAAAAAGAAAACAAAAAAATTAAAAAAAAACAAGCAAACAATCATTTTTGTTTTGTTCAGACAATGAGTAAAATTTCCTTTCAATAATAGTTAATACAGGTAGAGGCGTTTGATTAATCAAAATATTAAAAAAAAAAGGAAGGTTGAAAGTAATTATCTAACATTTATAACTTTGTGGTGTGTGTTTGTGTGTGTAGGGTATGTGACCTTGGGCTGTATTAAAATCTGTAATCTTAAACACAGAGCAATTTTAGTTTTATTGTTGTTTAAGTTCCTTGTGCTGCTCCCTCCAATTCAAATATGTTGCATTTAGGAATTTCCTATGGTCAGTTTGAACAATGAGTTTGAAAGGGAGGAGGAGGAGGAGGTTGAAAAAAAATGGAAAGAAAAAAGTTTACACCTACCACAGACACTTGTTCTGTTTTGATATATTCTGCCTTTTTTTTTTCAGAGCTTCAATACCATTGGATCAATATGCAGATGTGTCAGTAACTGGTTTATTGCATGTGGTCTGCTAAGCTGTTTATTCAATTTTAATCAATTGCTTTCTGTATGCTTTCATCACTCTGAAAATAATGAAAAGAGGGGAGAGAGGAAAAGAAAGTAAAATTAATTTCAATAATAGAAAAAAGTTCTGAATAGGTGTTTTTTTGTTAAAGATTTTATCTTAAATTCTAAAATGTTTAAATATCTTATTGAACTTTGACTGATGAAAGTTCAACAGAGTCTAAACTTGTTTAACAAAATATATATTTAAAAATACTTCAAACTAATCATTTATAATATTACTATACAAATATATTGTATAATAATATATATATAATTTATAAATCCATAAAGTATCATTGTCAATACAGAAATTATTAATTTCTAATTAGAGTTACTAATTTATATCACCTGTACCACTCCTAATCTGGAACAATCTAATTTCTGAAATGGTTCTCCGATTTATCATGTAAATTGGGTACAAAGATTGCATTTAAAGCGTATTTCATAGTGTTTGGTGTTTAATTATCTCTTTTGGTAAACTCAAACGAAATCTAATTTTCAAAAGAAAAAATATATATAAAAAAAATTTGAAGAAAAATTGAGCAACCTACATAACTTCCGAAACATTTCCCCTCCCTTTGTTTGAGTTACTAATCGGAGATTGTTGACCGTTAAATAATATATTTTAAATTTGTAAATTTTTAATTCGCCACACCCCATCTTGACCCATTATCCCAAATTCAATTTCGATATATTTAGAATTTCTTTCTTCTAATTTGGGATTTATGAAGTTCTCCCCTCATATCTAATACTGTCTTTAACTCGCAGTCATTGATAAATTTCTTAAAATAAAAAAAAAAAAAAGCAAAAGTGTAGTTCCGAAAAAAACGTTAACGGTAATAAATATATGTAGAAATAGCTTTTTTCTTTTTTGCTTAATGTTTGTTAATGCTCATTGAGCGAGAGGAATTTCATTTGATCATAATAACAGAGAGACATTTTCAATATTATATTAATAAAAGAAATTACTTACAGAGTTATGTCGGCATAAGGTTGATTCTGAGATATGATTTCTCTCTCTCTCTCTTTCCGTGTGTGTGTGTATTCCAATATTACTGATGGCAATATCAAGAAAAAATCTAATTCTGTCTGGATTTGGAGTATGTCTGCAAATGGGAGGAGGAAAAAAAAATAAAGTAAAAATAAAATAAGAAAATGATAGCAAAACTCCATTAATTACTTTATTTCCGCTTATATATATGTGTGTGTGTAATTTTTTCTGTATTATATTAAGAAATTATGACATTAAGTAATTCTATAACTTGCCAAACTTAATTTATAGTTATTTAATAATTTCTCCTAAGTTAAGAATAGAAGAAAAAAGAAACTAAGTAACATTTTCTGTTATTAAATTTGATTTTTTTTTCTCATTTAGTATACCAGATAATGTTCAAACTTTACAGAATCAGATCAGCAAACAGAATGTAATTTATTTCTAGTTAGATAAAAATGATATATCTTTGATTAAAAGAGAGAATAATAAGAATAATAATAATAATAATTCGTATCTTTTCTTATTAATATGAAATTGAAGAAATCAAAAATAGATTTTAGATTAATCAAAAAAGAATTCTTTCAGTAGAAAAGTTTTATAAAATATCAAAATATATATATATATGTAATTTAATCTTCCTGTTAAAAAAATATAACAATAATTGCTAAATCAATATTGTTAAATAATGAAAAAGTATTTTATTTTTTATGCACAAAAAAAAACACACACACATTTATACATATTTGTAACATATTTAATTAAACATATTCTATTAAATTTATTTTATAATGGATTCAAATTTTAAAATCGATATATAAAATGGAAATTATGTTTTATCCGCACCGAATCGTTACGCAGAAAATAATGCAGGATTATCTATTCAATTAAAAGATAATAGAAACTTGTACGTTCACTTATATAATTCTCTTGCCTGAAAATACTGCATGTATTAAAATTATTTTTTCAAAATATTTTAATGCTGGTGTCATATTATTTTCTAACAAAACATTTTTTCTTTCCTATGGTAAACATTGATGAGTTAGCATTCATTGATAGGGCTAAACAAAAAGAAAACAAAGTCTTCTGACCTTGACCTAAAGGTTAATCTTATTCAATGCCATTTTAAAGTTTTTTTTCTCCCTTAAAAATGATGATAAAAGAGAGTTTTAAGAATACTAAAGCACTACAATTCAAATTTTACATGTGACTTGGATAGAGTTATTACACAGAAAATAACACAAGATTAACTACTTGACAAAACAAAATAATAGAAATTTGTAAGTTTTCTTCTGTAATTCTCTTGCTGCGTGCATAAAAATTATTATTATTTGATTAATTTAATGTTAATGGCATACCATTTTCTAACGAAAACTCTTCTCTTTTTTACGGTAAACATTGACAAGTTGTCTTTTAATAACAGGGTTAATAAAAAGAAAAAAACTCTTCTGACCTTGAACCCAGGGTTCATTTTATTTGCCAACAATTTAAATTCTTCATAAAAAATTGTAATGAAAATTAATTTTTAAACATATAAAAATGTCACTGCTTAAAAACAATTAATTACTATTTGAATAAACAAAAATTTTGGTTTTTTCATCATTAAAAAAGTACAATTTGAATTTAAATATGCAATACTTGTGGATCTTTGATGTTCATATAAAAAATCTAATAAATAAATGGGAGAAAGTCTAAGGGAGAACTTGGTAGCAAATTTACTTGCAAAGCAAAGCAATTTAAAAAAGCTAACTTCATTGGTTTAATGAAGGAGGAGGAGGAAAAAAATTAACTCAAGATAACAAGTAACGAAGCAGTCGTAAATAAAATTCAAAATATATTTTCCATTTTATAAAATTTTTCAAAATCAACACACATTTGCTATAAAAATTACCAAGTAAAAATACATATACATAAATATTCATAAAATTAATTGCAGAGCCAGTTTTTGTATGCACGAGAGATAAAATTTAATTCCAATAATTAAAACTTAAAAACTGCATTTTCGGAACTTGGGGAGGGAAAGAAGAAAAAAAAAAGTTGCATTCTCTTCATTTTTAATTAAATATTAAAGACAATTTTAATACTAAGCTAATTAACATAAAATAAAATTTACATATTGATTGTTCAAATTTATATTAAATTCGCCATCTGTTGTTGCGAAAAATAAACACGACGACACATGGAAGAATTTTCTAAATATTCGGAACAAAAATTTTGCGGCATATTTTCAAGTATTAAACATATAAGCGCGTACGGATTGGCGCGTAATTAAAATAACCAAATTGTTTCTGTTTTTTAAGCAAAACAAATATTTTCTTCTATTATTGTTTTAAAAACTTTTACAAAAATTTCTCTTGTAGAGATTCGCTTTGCTTTGCTGTCCCCTCGGCTCCGGGCTCGAGGGCTAATTGGAAAGCGGCCCCGGTGCCAGAAAGTGCGGCACCGGGGGGGCGGCAGGGCGATGCTTTTTTCGGGAAGGACGGACAGACGGTCCGCGGTAATTTGCTCAAACGAATTAAATAACCTATTAGGGTCACCAGGGATGCGCATACTTCGCCGGATACACAGAGAGGGTCGTTGACCCTAAGCCCATCTTGGCCGCTTGTGCAATATTGACGGAGGAACTCCTATCTCGTATCTCACGCGATCACCCCGGGGAGGAGGGGGGAACTGAACAAGTGCACTACCTTATCGCCAAAAATCCCTGAGACAAAAGCGCTGCTCGCACAGCACTCTGTGCGACCAGAAATTGCTCGCTCCTGTACAGAAAGGAGCCCCATTTTGGCACTTTTCCAAAACGGGACTTGGCAATTTGCCAATTCCTTTTGCGTTTAACATTGCGTCCCTCTTCGAAAAGGAGTCGATCGGATATCTGACGCGTTACAACACAAGGGGGGGAGATACGTGAGAACGTAGAAAGTCGTTAGAGCTAGCTAGCTCTTTCGATACTCTTCCCCGATACTCGATCGAATGACACACTTTTNTTCTAATAAAAAAAAAAGAATATTTAATGTATATTTACCTTAAAAATGTATTAGAAATAAATTATTTCGTTAACTCAACTCCCAAACAGCATTTCGAATATCACTCCAATTGTTAAACGATTTTATGTATTAGCGTTTGAAATATGAAAATGTTCCAAAGGTTTACAGAAAAATAAACAAAATAGTTTTGTCTGAAGTAAAGATAAATATTTAAACATAACAGAATTTACAATTTTAGTGATTAAATTTATAAAATATAATAATAAATAATAATAATATTTATCATAAAACCAAACAATTCTTCCTATTTTTCTACTGTCGTGATTTTAAAGTGGATAAAAATATAATTTAACCGTAGAGATATCATCTGAGAGACGAAACAGATATAAAGTATTGTTTTAAGAAAATTATTTATTAATTTTTAAAATTTTACAACGATAACAACTTTTTCTAGGTCACTCATTATGTAGGTTAATAAAATCTTTTAAACACTCCTATATAATACTACAAGAGAAAATAGAATTAAGTAATACTTTAACATTATTATTTTTTATTTGTTTTATAAATTTACTTAAAATTTCTTCTCCCTTCCTCCCTTTCTTTTAAAATATAGAAAAACACGTTTCATAACCAAAAAACATGCCTATAAAATATTATAAAAACATCTCATAAATAGAAAATAAACAGGCGGATTTATATATTCCTCCTGCACAATATATTTATTGAATGCAACACGCTCCGACAGAATAAAGTAAATAAACAGGAAGGATGTTTAAACAAATATAATAATTTCATTAATACGGATTCTAAAGAGTTTAAATTTTGTTCTACGATAAAATATTTACATTTGCAGATTTATTTTAATTATAAAATCGGCCCTATATTATTAACGACGTGTTTATCTCGGTTAATGCGATTATCTTAATGATAATATTTACACGTTAATTCATCTAAGCTTGTTTTTAATTATAATTATACCGATTAAAAATATAAATATTGGGTAAATTAGACTTAATTATAAAATTCATAATGCAAGCTTATAAAAGTTGGGTACGATACAATTAAGGCAATGCAGATTAAAATTAGAAAAAAAAATTTCTTTTATCAGATAAGATACAGCAAAACAGAAAAGAGAAAGAAACAAACAAAGAAGAGATTTGTCCTTATTTATCTTTTAAATATTTTTATTTTCTTAAAAAAAGATAAACAATTTTTCTTTATTTTTAAATTCTATGAAAGTATTGTCTTCCAATCTTTGCATTCTTTCCTATTTCCAATTATTATGAATTTTGCAATGTGTTTACATTATAATTCACACTCCTCTAATTTTAAAAATATATTTTTCTGAATTGCAATCATTAAGTGAGATAAGATTGGATTAAAATTTTCTTTCTTTACTTTCAATAATGACAGAAGAGAAATTTTTTCCCCCTTCCCTCTTTGTATTTTGCAAGTTCAATAATTTGATATTTCAAATGTAAAATTAATGAGGGTCTCGAGGCATTATTTGCATTGTAGAGGTATTTTTAATTGTTCCGGGAAAGCGAAATTTAAATTATAATACTAAATATGAATAGCAATAAGTTTTAATTATTGAAATTTTTAATTGTTTGATTTAATCATTGAATGGAATTTGTTTAAACAATGCAATAAATTAAAATGATGGAAGAGAAACAAAATGCAGTTAAACCTTTTAATTTATATATGACTCTTCAAAATTGCTATTTCCTTTCAGAAATTTAAGACTGTTTACAGATATAAAAGATAGTATGCTTCATATATATATATATATAATATAATACAAATACAACTAACCCGATTATTTCAAATACCAAAGAAACATTCAGATTCTCTATCAGGCTATATGCTAAATAATCACTAAACAATTGGTAGGAGGTAGGCCACCAAGCTGCCATCTCTTGTTAAATATAATAATTATAAATTAATTAATTAATTTAATTTTAGAATAAGGATAAGATGGCAGCTTGGCAACCTGCCTCCTGCCAAATTGCTTAGTAATTATTTAATCTTATAGTCTGATAAAGAATCCGACTGTTTGTTTAATGTAATTCTTTATAAAGAATATAATATATATATATATATATATATATTTTATTGTACTGTACTTTAA